TCCTTGACTGAAAAGTCTTTTACTTTAAGGTAAACATTCCCGTTGTTGTCCAGTTTGAAGCTTTCTTGGCCTTCTGGTATTTTGATAGAAGGTATTTCAGACCTGTGCTTTTTATTGTGTGTAAGACTGGCTGTGCTGACAGAACTCAGTTCAGACAAGAAGTAAAACACTGAATGCTTTATTCTGATGCCTTCTGTGTTCTAAACCTTTTGCTCAGCATCACTTTTGCTTCCTGATTTTTTTGGTTTTGTTTTTGTTCTTTGTTTTTAAATGACTGCTTATGTCCAGCTTCTGAAGGATACCATAATAATTTGCGGGGACTGTGAAGGCTGGAGCCTAGCATTGGGAGGTGTATGAAAACTCCTTGGCCAAGAAAAGTGTAAACCTCAAGTTAAGACTGAAGCAAGGAATAAACAGGCAGTCCCTGGGGAGGTTCTGCCGCTTCTGCCGCTCCCAAAAAGGACACCTGAAGCTGAGCAGCCCAATGGATATCTGCTTGGCATTAACTTCAGTTTCTGATTCCTAACTGCTTTTCGGTGCAGGCTTAATCCAACTTAGAAAGCTTCCAGAGGGAATACCTTGCATATTAAATTGTTCGGTTACAGTGTTTACAAAATGCTACCACCACCTGCTGCTGAGTAAAAGCAAATTGGTGCCTGTAATCATAGTACTTCAGAGTGACATTCTGACAGCTGCCCAGTGATGACCTGGAATCAGTATTCTACACACAAACAGTAACTTGTTTTGGTTTTTTATTGCTGATGCAAACTTCCAGTTTGGTAAGTGCAAGATTCAGTAGCTAAATCACAGGAAATCAGATAAAAACTATTCTTCTTTTGCCAATAGAATTACTATATGCAAATGGTGGTGGTATGTTAAGCTGGTGTTATGCTTTGCTTATAGGCTGAACCTTCCCATGCTTTTTGGCTCTATAAATGGCCCTTTTTTTGACCGGTGGGCCAGTGAAGGGCTAGCAGGCTTTGAGTTGTTGAGAGGACCAGCTCCAAAAGCATAGCTGAGCTGCACTTGCTCCATCTTCTTTTTGTACTCAATTGGGATGGTGTTGCAACCACAGCTGTTTTCCCAGGGAAAGGTTTGTTAAGGAATCGAATAGGTGTAATTTCAACCTTTATTTTTTAGAGAAAGAATAAGGTTCTGAACCTTAGCCAGTACTTAAATTACGTTTCAGTACTCTAATTTACATTATGTTTTACGTTTAATTTATGTTGTGCATTTAAAGAATGTTAGCTATCTGATGGTTAAGCTTTGTTTGAACTGAAGCTAAATATTGTTCTTGCTAACAAGCTCTGGGACTTCTACTAGCTGTGGCTTTTATAGCCTATTTCTAATGATGATGAGTGAGCTGCCTTCAGTGATGTTTGATCTATTCTTTTTTATTTTTTTTCCTTTGCCATGCTTGAAAGCAGAAATGCTGCTTAAATGAGAGGAAAACCTGTGTAGAATCCACCTCCTCTGCAATTGAGAAATGAAGCTTATTTTTTAAAGCATTTAAAACTAGGTTTCAAAATAATGCAGGTCTGGTTTTAGAGAAAGAAAAGCTTGCTATTCCCAGTGGGCTTTTCTTCTGCTACCTTACATCTTTGTGGCTTTTGTTTGGGTGCATAACTGCTACTTTGGGGAGAAAGGAGAAGTACTCGTGTGTACGGATGCTGGTGACACTTAACGCCTAGATGAAAGGTATTTAATAAAAATGATCAAGGGATAATACCAACTTAACTTACAACACATTTTAATTGTATTCTTAATGTCCTTCTGAAGCATGTATTAATCCTGTAAAGGAATTTAAGTGTTTGGTTCCTGCTTCTGTTCTTCCCTGATGGTTGTTCTACTTTTTCCATCTACCTCCCTTCTATCTTTAAAGTCCCTTGCTGCTTTTTACAGAAAAATAACCTGGCAGTCCCCACTGCACAGCTCCCACATGACTTCAGAAGCACTGTGGCAGCAACACAGTCTGATCCAGATTTTTTTGCTCTGCATTAGAGCAAAGGCAAACGCAGAAACTTTCTGCAGTCTTCAAAAGCTGTTCTTTTTCCTTTTTTAAGAACTAATAGACATGATGTTTTGCCTCAGGGGAAAGGTGTAATAACCAACTTTGTATAATATGTTTAAAAAATTTGTCTTTTCCCAGAAAACCCACCTGAGTTGGTTCACTATGAAGTGAATAGAAAGTGTTTTGACCAGGGTAATCCTTCAAGAGGAGCACCTGGAATTTAATGGTGTTTGAAAATGGAATTACTGCAAGTTTTCTTACTGCTTGGGCTGTCTGTTTCAGAGCCTCATCTCAAAACTTACTATAAATGCATCACCTGTGGTAGATTTAACTTCATGGGGAGTTCCCCTAGGATAATTATGTATGTTTGTTTGCATAAACATGTATTATGTAAGAACTTACTAGGTCAAGTTATGTATTCCAGCTTTGAAAGGTGAATATTTGTGAAATGTTCTTCTGTGTAAACAAGTTTTAGTTGTGTACCTTTAAAAAAAAAAAAAAACAAACTTACAGTGTAAAATCATAAAATGCCTGCTCATAGAGAAAAGAAAGTGAACGGTAAACGCATGAACTTCTCTACTAAAATCCAGTGATATACAGTCTCTGAGGCTAAAAGGTGAAGTAAATGATGTGTATTTGTCATGCAATTTAGTATTTATGCACCTGAGCTGTAGATCTTTAAGACTTTAATACTGACATTTTTTGCCACTCTGACTAAAAGAACCCCATAAAACCCTTCACAAGCCACTGGCAAAGGAGGGATTGAAGTGGGCATTTCGCCTTCCACTCTGTCCTATCCTCCTGGCAGTGAAAAGATGACAAAGCTAAATAAATCAACTGGAGATACTGCAGAGCTGGACTGAACTCACTCAGTAGCCTCAGGTACTGACAGATAGCAAAGACAGCACAGACCAGAGAACCACATGTTCTCCAACAAGAGCAAGAGTTGGAGGCCTGTGCTCTCTTAGTTTTGGACATGAGGTGTATGTAATTAGCTGTATGAAAGGCTAAACATTATGATACACAGTTATCAGAGGACTTTCTGTTCTAAAGTGCCATGGCCCCCCTTCCCTGCAGAACTGGATTTGCACAGCTAGTGCTAGTATACAGATCTGTTTTCCTTCTTTTTTCCAGAATAGGTTAAATACTGGATATAGTGGCAGACTTCAGCATGTATTATGTGCTATCAAATAAAGTCTTCATCCGTGATAACCTATTTAATTTGTTACATGAGCAATTTTGACATGTATTTCAGAGAACTTGAAACAGAACACACTGCTTATGTCTCTGCCATCAGTGCCGTGATGAGATCTGATATTCTTCTGCACACCGTTTCTTCTCTTGAAGCAAATGTCTTCTCTGTAATCTAGGTCACCGAGTCACCCGGCCAGCTGCTCACTTGATTTCCTAAAAGCTTCAAACATGACAGTTCAAATTCTTATACTCCAGCTGCTTTGCTGTAAACAAATGAGTTCTAGCTAAACAGAAGGCAACGATTCAAAGAAATGACGTTTAAGATTCTTTTAATCCATCCGTTATAATGCCTCCTGGAAACGCATGATGAAATAGTATGGCGTAAGAAGAAGAAAAACATACAGTATATAATTCTGTTACTCTCTGAAAGATCCCACTGCAATCCTCAGTGAAATACAGTAAAAGCTAATGACTGTTTTGTCAGCCTTTGCTCTGTTCCAGGGTATTTTCCCCTTTCTGTACTGTTAAGACGGCTGGAGAGTCAAGAACTAATAACTTTAGCAGAGAAGTTAAAACTTGAACCTTAGTTCTCCAAAAAGAACACCATTACTACAGCCATTGCAGACCAGAGATGATAGTCTGTTACTGTGTAGAGTGCCCACTTCATGGTAAATGCCTAAAAGCTAAAGACCGTGCCTTAGTGAACGTACAACTACATAAATACATGTGAGAACACAGTATAAACCATGTTATACCTTACAGTAATGGTAAATAATACTGTCCCTGCTCAGTAAAATAGACTCAGAGAGAAAATTTAATTTGAAATTTAATTCAAGCTATGTAAGATACCAGCATTTGCTGAGAACTGAATATAAATTTTAAAAGGTGTTTGAATGAACTGCATGAACACTAAGGCAACGCCCTCTTGATGGCCTAAGGAGTATACGTTTGGGCGAGAGAGTTTCCAGCAACCAGAAATACTTCCCCCAGGCCTTCCTGTCCTAGGCAGTGCCCCAGCATACCTACATCCAGGACCCGGCCTCGCTGGGAACACAAGGGTTGCTATAACCCAAAAATCTCATTTCAGCTCACACATTTTAATGCGGTGTTACGCATATAGCAAATTGTACAGGAAATAAAGGGTAAGGTGAAATTATTCAATTTTTTTATCCTTCTCATTTGCAAAACAGTCCCGAATCAAGAAAATACAGCATATTTACACATAGCTGATATTTTATATACAGAGCATTGTAGTATTTACACATTTTATTAATACAGACTAATACTTCATTATTGGGGGACAAAACAGCCATACTAAAAATACAGAAAATAGCTGAATATGAAACAACTAAGCTTACTGTATTAACTGCCAACTAACCTTTTTTTTTTTTTAATGTCTATATATATGTATAGACTCTCACTTTGTGTTTGTGTATGCTCAAAAAAAAAATACTCCTTGCACTGTTGATTACTGCCTATACCTATACGGTATAATTTGTTACACTATTTTGTTCTTTATGCATGCTCGGTCACATGCTTGTATAAGCCCAAATGCCCGTTTCCTGCTGGTCCCTGAAGAAGCATGATACATAAATACATATACACAGACTGGAACCATTTCACATTTGACTTAAATGCTAGCTTCAACCAATACTACAAAATACAGTGTAGATGATTGTACAAAATTACAACAAGAGGGGACGTGACGAGTACATTCTAGCTTTTATCTTCTCTTTGCGCTAAATAAGTATAGCTGATTGAGCTACAACCTCAATATGTGCGCTATGGAATTCTAAAGGATTTGCAGTGCTGAGACTTCAAACTAGTAATTTACTGATTTGTTTGAAAACCTGTCCTTCCAGCCACCAAATAGCTATTATCTAGAATTTTCTTTAATTTGACTTACTGCTTCTCCTTTTTCTATCCTTTTAGCAGCAGGTTTTTCATACACAACACGTATAATAGCCATCCTCATCTTCCCTCCCCAGTCTCCCCTCTGGAGCAGGGCAGCCCCTGGGGGTTCAGTGGTTCCTAAGGCTACATCTCCTAGACTGCTGATTGTTCTTTCCCCTCCAGTTGGTCCATCTCTTTCAAAACAAGGGACCCAAAGCTTAGCACACTAAGTTAGTTACATGTCAGTGATGCAGCAGCAGGAATTGCTCCTACGCTATCTAGTATCTTACAGGCTCTACGCTTAGGTGTGTAACTCCAGCCGGGCATAAGAGGAGAGGGAGAAGGCAATGGCCTCTCTAACATTCAGCTTGTTACCTGCTATGATGCCTGTCAGTTCAGCAGAAAGTTATATCCACATTCTGCGTTCGGGTGGTAGATTATTCCTGTTAAGCATACCAGTCTCCTTTGTCACTCCTGAAGAGTATAGCTTTTTTTTTTTCCCCTGGCCCCTTTTCCGGTTTGCTCAGTATTTGAACTCTAAATTTGCCCACCAACAAATCCCTGCAGTTGAGCTTTAGGTCATCGTCTTGACATTTGATTGGCCTCTTTACTCTGTCAAGATCATCTATGAAGATGGTACTCTCAGATCCAGAACAGCCCCTTGTACAAATCTTAGTCAATACAGCCTTTCCTTTCAAAAGGGATACCAAGAACTACTCTCACGCTGTATTTTACAGGCTTTTTTTCATATCTGCCCCATAAGAATTCAGCTAGACCACTCTGCCATCATTCTTACCAGCACAGTCGGAAAGCTCTGCAAAGTAAACAGGGAATAGTTTGAATCTGAGCATCACCAGAGAATGCCTGCTCTGCTCCAGCCCGCCAATCATTCACAAAGTTGAAAGGGGTCTTAAAGACAAGGGAAGGAACGTTTTATGAATTGGAGGGAGAGAAGCAAAATGTTGGAAAAAAGAGGATTTTCATGCCCTACTGAATGAAAAATAACAACTCTATACACTAAAAGTACAAGCCAAACAGCATATTACTCAAATTGTTCACAAAGGAATCACTGTAAAACAAGTTATAAAGAAAAGTTAAAAATATTCAGGCATGTTCTACAGTATCCGAAAAAGCATCAAATGGAATTTCTCAATGGTAATTGAGTTTCTGGAATAACCTCAGTATTCCTAATACTTTTAAAAAATTGCACGTAACTTTATTCCTAACAAAATCGAAGACATACAATATGACCGGGGTGCTGCTCAGTGCAAATCTACCTTTGGACAAGCAAGATTCCGGGTAAGATCAGAATGTAATTCAATTTATGAGTGTTACATTAATGATTTTCAATATTACTTTCTACACGGAACTTTGAATATTAAAATCCTGCTTCTCTAATCAACTCCTACCTAATCATGTCTTCCAACAGCTGTCCATCATGCTGAATCCACTGGAATTAGGTGCAGGAATAACAACCCCTTGTTTCTGCAGTTCACGTAAAACATCTAATATTGAATCCAATTCCACCCGAAATTTCTCCAGTTCTTGATTCTTCCGTTGTGCCAGTCTTCGCCACCTCTCAGCCTCATGGGTTTGCCTTGCTTCAGTAATCTGTTGTGTTAGTTGGGTTGCCTGCAAATTAGAAGCAGGTCAGCGTTGGGACTTCCTAGTCAAATACTCAGCCAACACTGCCCCTTTGCAAAAATATGCCAATTCATTACATTTGATGCTCAGTGTCAAAGCCCAATGCTCACGTTAAATAGAAACAATTTGTTCTGAATATAAAAAAAAAAAAAAAAAAAAAAAATCATTCTGATTGATAGCAATAAATGCCTTTAAATATTTGCATTAATGACCAAAGGGTAGAATCCATCACTGACTAATAAGCCTCAGGAGAATTTAACTTATCTTCTCCAAAGCAGCAATTAAAAATTTGAGTATCTAAGATGAAGCTGAGCATATAACATAAAACCCTCTGTAATCAAAATGAACCTTTTGAATTGCCATTTAAATGCGTTAATTAAAAGAACACTCCGCAAGAGAAACAAACCAAATCCGAATGACATGTTCTGGGCTACTACTGTACTTTTAAAAACCACAAGTTCTATGAATTATCAGAAAATACCCTTTAGTCACAAAGGTCTGAAGCTGCTGCAGATAAAAGTTTGAATTAATTTTGACATGAATCTGTGGCGTAATCCTATTAAATTACCAAAATAAAAAGTGTCAGAAGATATCAAAATCTCCACACCACTATTAATTGTAACAGATCGTTTAAGGAAAGCTCTATCACTTAAAGGCCATAACTGTTGTATTTGTAGTTTGATACTAAGGATAACCTGTTATTTCCTTGTTCAGCAATTAGTTTTTCTACATTGTTCAGTTCGTTATCATTCATTTGGGGGACTGTTCGGTGCCCCACTGCAGATGATTAAAGGTGCGAAACCAGGACAAACAAAACCCAACGCTTAATACGTAACAAGGCTAGTAGCACCAGGAAAGATGAAATTACTTAGTGGTAACTGTTGCGTATGCTATTATTTCTATTTTTTAAAAATACATTACAAAACATCTTAGTAAATACTATGGGTCAGGTAATGATTTCAGTGGAGATAGATCACAGACTAGGCAGCAGCAGACTCTTCACAGAAGTGGTAAAGAAGTTCTCACATTATACAAAAGCAAATGAATAGCATAAACCAGTAACTATTACAGTTGCCTTTAGCAGGACAGAATGCGAACAAAAATAGTAAAATCATCAGTGGCGGCAGGGTTTGTTCTTAAACCAGTGACTTGTTTTAGGCACAGCTCTTTTTGGGAAGACAATTAAATATCTGATGTAGAAATGTATGAGAATAAAACCTTCTACCACGAACAATTCTGTACATAGAAGTGTATTCCTTGAGATCTGGTTTCAAAACTGTAGAACAAACTCCACAAACTAAGAACTGCTACAGGTTTGATGATCTTCCAGTGCAACTGCCCTTCCTTGACTTCATGTATTTAAGTAAAACCTAAGTTAAAACACTAACGAAAGACAGTCATATAGTTAAGTGATGAAAGTGTTGAGGAAAAAAAAAAATCTATATTAACTAGAAAACTGTTTCCAGATGATAGAACCTCCCCAGATAGATGGAAAATCAGGATGGAGACCATGAGAGAAAATAAGATGAAAGAATCAGTGCAAAACTGTTTTACCCATTCAAGGGATACAAATGTTAGATACAAGAAACTATCACAAAGATCCAACTGCCAAAATCCAAAATTTTTACTTTGTAGAGGATAAAGGCTTTTTTGTTGTTGTTTCGCATATTAAAAACAGTATGTGGTAGACTGCTACAAGATGTTTCTATACTCTTAATGCAGCTTTTCTGAATGGGACTTCTAGGACTAGAAAATAAAATTACAGTTCTGTTGAGGACTGTATCGTAGCTTAACAAATTCTGCATTACAAACTGTCGTCACTTTTTCAGTAGCTAGCTTTCACTGTGTAACTGAAATATGAACTAACCGAATGATACCAGGGACTTCCAGAGGCCATGCGGTCCAACCCTCTGCAAAAGCAAGGCCTCCGTAGATCAGGTTGTGAGGAAGTTACGCACCTGATAGGCGAGTCATGCAGCAGTAGTCTTAATTACCACAGCAAGGAAGTGCTGCATCTACAGTGCAAGGACTAGCACTGCATCTACATTCACTTGCATCAGCAGGCACCGAAAACAAAACCGTGGCTGTACTTGCCTCTGCAGTGTGAGCTAAAGAAGCCTGTGCAAATACCACGGAATTACAGTTAAACCTATAAATTGCTCTTGAGAAGTAAATGCAGATATACTCTGGTGTACCTTTTGAATTTCTTGCTCTCTTTCTGCATGTCTGGTCTCTATATGCTTGATTTTCTTTTCCAGGCACAAGAAATGCTTCATTTCAGGACTCTGGCTCTCCTTAGCCTCTCTCAGTTCTTCCAACAATTTTGTCACCTACAGTTTGAGAGAATTGATGAAAATTGTTATCATTGTGTTAAGTAGCGTGTAAAACAGATTCCTTTCAAAGTGTATTTGCATTGTTTAATCATTCCATTCAAAAGCTGCAGAAAGGAAGTGTCGTGGTTTAACCTCAGCCGGCAGCTAAGCACCACCCAGCCACTCGCTCACTCC